ATTTGCGGCGATGCAGCGGCAGCGACGCATTTAATGTGAATAAGAACGACACTATCTTTAAATTTACCTCGCGTCGCGTTGTAACGCAATGGATGACACGACGCGTGACGCGCACAGTGAGAATTCACTCTATCTTTAAGTTTATCTCGCATTGCGAAGAGAAAAGCCTGATCTTTAGTGTCGGTCCACAATAAGTATTTAATCTTTAAGTCGTAAGAAATTGACCAATCATAATCGATTATTCTTTTTATATTCGATTATAATTGATCAATTTCTTACTTCTTAAAGCTTAAATCACCTATTGTGGACCAACACTAATAAGAATCCATCACATATCTTTTCAATATTTCAATTTTGAAACGTTTTGATTGGTCCGCTATTTTTTCTCTAATAATGTATTAATGTCATGTGACATAGATCATAGAATCTAGCGATTGTTGAGTTTGTTTTCGGCATTTTTTTCTTTATTTTTATTATAAAAAAAAAGCAAGGAGAAATTATATATTCTACAAGGTTTTTTGAATGTAATTGCCGAAATAAATCAAAGCATTGTAATCATTCTCAGGAATGTAAACTATTCTTGGAATTTCCTACTCAGTCAAATGTTGATATGTCATAAAGTATCTCAAAAAGTAAAAAATTAAATTATATAGAAATTATATAGAAAATAGCGTTTTATATCGCTTTAGTTTAGTTATTAGTTATTAGTATCGCTGGTTACATAGTAACAAGTTAAAAAAAATACACAACTTTGTGAGCAATGTATTAATAGTGTAGGTTCTACAAATCGAAATTTTTCACGACATGCAAAATTAATACGATTAAGAAGTTACAAAGATAACACTTTATTTTTTGTTAATAATCAAACATTCAAAATATTTAAAAAACTGAAATATATATTCAAAAAATATCCAAAAATCTATTCGCAATAATGAGTTTTTAGTTAACAAGTTTCTTAATATTTTAAGTAATAGTCACATCTTGCAATGTCATAATTTAAATATATTTAAAAATAGCAAACAAATTTGCAGTTTATGGATTAAGGATATCTAATAAAAAAGAATTATTAAACATAAATATTATAACAGTAAGTCAATGATAATGTATAGTGCAATAAAATAAATTAAAATAAACTGTTAAACTTTGTTTATTTAATTTTCCTCCTTGTTCATCCAATAGTAAAAATATCATTTTGCACTTATTATTATTATATGTTACATCATTGTTACAAAAATGTAATTACTGGCCAATATAATACTAGAAATTACTTATTTTGAATATTAAAAGCACAAAATAATATTGCTTTTAATATTCAAGTTGAGTGATCAATCACTATCTTTTAGCATTTGATTTAAAAACATACGTTACAAATCTACGTTACAATTTAAAAATAATTTTATTAAGATTTTATTAAAGAAAAAGAATTGTGTCACAATCTACGAAAAATAGAGTCTATCTGAATAATATTCGAATCGATATATGTTTCGTAAGTTTTTTTGAGATTATGTATATTCCTTCATTTCATAAAGTCTAGTCTACAATGACATAATATAAGGCTATAAGGGAAGCGTCCCGTTTGATTACGTTGTAATTGGACACAGTCACTCCCAGTGATCTGGAGATTTTCTACAACCAATCAAATAATTTTATTTTAAATTGGCCAATCGGCAACGTGGGCAATCGGGAGCCATCCGGCTGTAAGGGGCCCGTTTGACCACGTTACAATTGACCACCAGCCACTCATAACGTTTGAACAGAGAAAAACCTCTAAGAACCGGCCGCTGTGAGTGGCTGTGATCAATCGCAACGTGATCAAACGAGACGCTCCTGGCTGTAAGGCATGTAAGAACCTACTTAAATAAATTATTTGTATTTCTTATCTTTAACAATCTTACATCACAGTATACGGGTGAAGTCCAATCGGACACGTTGCCGATTGGTTAATTTAAAATAAAATTATTTGATTGATCGATCCAGTAGAAAATCTCTAGACATCGGTCATTCTAAGTGACTGTGTCCAATGTAGTCAAACGGGACGTGCCAGTGTCCATCGCCCCTCTTTATCACTCTTGCGTCTAGCACGGAAAAGAATCACAAAACATACACATTACCTATGTAAATAAGGATACAGCTAAAGCGTCCATGACCACTCTCAAGTAGAGATCCTTTAGTAAGAATCTGGCTATCAGAAACTCGATTTTGAAGCGTTTTAATTCCGTCATTTTTTCTCACATCAGCCGAAGAATTTTCTAATGAGGATAAGGAATTTTCCACCTATCAAAAATTTTTTTATTTAATCGACCAATCGGGTGTCATCCTATGGACACAACTGCCCATCTTTACTTATGCGATAAGAGTACAGCTAAAACGCGTCCATGACCACTCTGAAGTGCCATCTACATGCCGTAACTTGCGTAAGCGTAATTTGCATATTCTAGTATTTTATTAAAACACGTTAGGACATTCTGAAAACCTTCTTTCACATAGAGCGTATTTCGCGGAATTTCGAGAAATGCGTAATTAATACAACCAATTACTGATTAGGATTTCTGTTGTACTCTCTAACAGAAATGCTAAATTAATTTGTGATTGGTTTTTGTAATCTGCGTATCTGGAAAAGTATGCTTCATAGGGAACCGAGGCTTTATGTACAAGTGTGTGTACGAACAAGTCAAATAGATGTGAACCTAATCTGCGAGAATGTATTTAGAAGTCATTATGGACCCGGACCTGTTATTATTAATAATATGGAAGCGATGAAGCAAAAGTGGAAGAAGATGAAACAATCTCAACAACAGAAAATTAGATGATATAATATTTTAAAATTGTTTGGAATATGGAAGCTGATGGTAACGACAACAGGAAAAAGCTCGTATAGAATGTGGATGCGTCCAATATTCGCAGAAAGATGAAGATTATTACAGGATGACAGTGACAATCTGGTCAATTATTTTTCTTATATTCGATTATGATGGGTCAATTTCTTACTTCTTAAATCATCTATTGTGAACCGACACTAAGTGTCGGTCCACAATAGGTGATTTAAGCTTTAAGAAGTAAGAAATTGACCAATTATAATCGAATATGAAAAGAATACTCGCTTATGATAGGTCAATTTCTTACGGCTTAAAGATTAAATACTTATTGTGGACCGACACTAAAGCGTCTACAATGAGACTTTAAGACGTAAGACTTAAAAAATTGGCCAATCGATTATTCTTCTATAAATCGATTATGACTGACCAATTTCTTAAGTCTTACGTCTTAAAATCTCGTTGTAGACGCCGCTTAAGTCTTACGTTTTAGGCTGATTTTTCATGCTGACGATCGACGCTCATTTTAGCGTCAACTAGATCACGTAGTCAAAAATGACCATTTAGATTTTACTATTCTGTTTAATTTTGATCACGTGATCTAGTTTAACGCTAAAAATAAGCGTCGAGCGTCAGCATGAAAAATCAGCCTTAAAGTCTCATAGTAGACACCGCCTAAATGTACCATAGCCACTATCGTGTTCTTTGGAAACCCTATCAGTCAATATGGCAGCCTGGAGTATTTTTTATATTTATTGGGGACTTTTGGAGACCATGAATAATTTCGAACAGTGGTATCATTCAATTATAACCTTGAACGATTAATATAAAAATTAAAGCGGTTTAGTGTATTATTAATGATTTGACATTTTGAAATAATCTCGTGTTAAATTACATTATTGAATCACTTTATTTATCCAGTGTTATTAATATTAAAGCCAGTGTTGTTAACTTTTTATGCCGGTTTCTCATCGTTTTCGTCGTCGTCCTTAACGCTGTTGTCACCGCCGC